CTCCCTATGTATTCGCTATAAAAACATTATAAAACATAACTTCAATGTCTAAAATATTAAAATTTAAGCAAGCAGTATAAAACATTTCTAACAAGGCGTACTACAGGCTTAACACAAAGAGCAGTAACAATTTACAGTAACACCTCATCTCCTTTACTAAATTTACTTAAAGTAGATTGAAATTTAAAAAATCATTTCTTATGTAATTCTTTAAGGAAAATTAATATAAATAAAAGTTAATTATGGTTTAAAACCCATACATATACATCCCCATAAATCAAGCAACTTATCAAAATATTAGAACAATTTATTAGAAGCTGAAGAGAAGGATGAATTAACTTTAGGTAAGAAGTGGGAACAATCTTGGCAGTCAAAAGTCTCAAAACAAGTGGCACTGATCTGAACCAAGAGTAAATAACATTGAGTTCCAATTTAACTCAATGTGTCTCAAACGAATTATGACTAACTTAGGTTCCCTTTATTTCAGGGCACAATTACTTCTGGACGCAAATGAGTATGCTTATAAATTATTCCAGGTATTCAGTTTCTACAACTTTAAAGGAGCTTAGTTTTTAATATAGTATATAATTTGTATTTGACTCCCACATGCAGCTTCCTGAAAATGGAAACTGCTGCCATTGTGACTTTGCACCAAAACTGCAGTATATTGAAGAGATTCTCACTTTATTATTGGCATCTGTCTGTTTCAAGAGACAATGGAGTGTGCTTCCAGAGAAGTCAAACGCTGGAGGATGACTGCATCTATTGTGGCTGCAGATACTCGTACCTGCATTAACAGCACCAAAGTGACCTGTCTTTGAATTCAACCCTAACTCACTGAGGGTTTGAGACTAATGGGCTCCCCTCACCTGGTTTAGCCAGCCAGTTGAAACCGATTCTTGGGTGTGGCTGCTGTCACATGCTGACCGCTCTTAGGAGCCACAGGTGAGAGTGTGGGGACCAGAGGTGAACAAACTGCTCCAGAAGGAGCACAATGTGTCCAGCTTGTGTCCTGCTCCTCCTCCAACACCCCATACACTCCCATTCCAATAACCGCCAGCAAATAATAGGTGTATAATATTGCTTAATAATAATACCTGATTATTTGAAACCAAACAAGATATAGACATTGTGCCCTTTATGTTCATTATGGTTGCATTTTAAATATATTTTCACCTATTGAACTTAGGTGCACAAAATGCTTCACAGCATATACCAGTGAATGGTTGATAAAGGTATGGTAGAATCTATAAATGAAGGGTAGGGATTTCTATTTCTGATGAGAATTCCCTGACACTCCTAGTGCCAAGTCAGCCTGGCCTTGCTTGAGGAAGTAGTATTTCTCAGAATGAATCATTCTGAGCAAGGTGTCCCCAGAGATCATCTGTAATATTTCTGCTGCTCTGCCTTGGCAAATTCTGCTTAAGGTTTAACAGTATTAAATTGTTAAATTTCAAAGAATTACAGTTTATTTCTTGGTGTGCCCTTCAAAGAAGGAAAGGTAAAAAGTCCCTTGCACAGTCTCCTATATCATGGATGTGGGTAGATGTCAATATTGTGGGATTTGCATTGTTTCTTTCCTAGAAACTCCCAAAATCCACTATCTGAAATAAATTTTAAATTAGGGTCTAAGAAAGGGAGTTGATAAACACACGGAATTTCAAAACTTTTTGAGTTTATTGTAGCCCAGGAATTTGCTTTCAGTATTTGAGTTCACAGTCCTTTCACACAAAAATCTATTATTGGTTTTCTCTACAAGGCTTCTTCATTTCAGCAGTCTAATTTGTTATTTTAAAAGATAAGTTGCTGTTGTTAAACAATTGGGAGTCATAAATCCTTGTTGATCTACTGCAAATTGCACAGTGATGTCCTAGTAGATCCTCATCTACCCCTTCTCTCCCCTGCTTATTTACTCTATTTTGGGTGAATGCCAAGGTGGACAGCACAGGAAAAGCAGGCAAAACTGCAGAAAACCCACCCCAGACAGTTCAATGTATGAAATAATATTTTTCCTTCCTAACATTTGATGAAGTGTTTTTCATTTTCATTTTAACTTAAGGGAAAATAGACACATTTGCTAGACACGTCTGAGTGGATTAATAAATAGTATTTGTACACACACAAGCTAAAAAGTAATTTATCAGATAAAAGACAGATGTGTGGAGTTTGGAATGGGAGGGAGTGAATAAGTGCCCACCTGAATATACAGTTGTGGTGTGTTGTTGATGAACTGCTGTTGATTTAGGGAGAACGTTGCTTAGTAGCAGTATAAAAGCCAATAATGTCATATGATAATGTTCTTTGCCAGAGTAAAATACGTTTTCTCAAATGCAAACAGCGCACGCCAAAGGGGGACAAAGAAACTCAGTTAAATGTGTTCTTTGTTTTGCTAAGGTATTGCAATAGGCAAAAATAAAGATGTTAAAGCACACTGGATGTATATCATTAACTTGCAATGTAGAATGAAGGTTTTTCTTGTTTTAAAAGATGGATCTAGTCTTTGCTGTTATTTCAGAAAGACTGAATTATGGTATTGTTTGGGGTAAGATTCCTTGTTTTCCCGAAGGTTCTTGTTTTTCACCTGAAAAGGCATGGTTAGTATCCCACAACTCTGGAAATGTATGGCATACATAGGTGTGGGGCAGATCACATGGGACATCTCAAGTTGTGATGTTGGTGGATTTTGGAGGCTCTTCCAGAAACGCTTTTTATTAAGCATTCATCCTGATTTACTTGCACAAATCTTGTTTAGAGATTAGATTATTTCAGGTCTTTATTGAGCTTTCATTCTGATTTGTTTGCAAGAAGGTTAAACAACCTACATCCATCCTGATTTGCTTGTGAGGTGTTTATCTTTCTCATCACTTTCATGGCAGTAGAAAGTCTGTTTCCTTTTTGGAGTCAATTTGTTGCCTAAGGTGACAGAGGGCTTTAATCCACTTTAATTGTGCAAGCCTAAATTTCCCGTTCTATGATTGACCACCTGGGAAGGCTCAAAAGTGGACACATTCAGATACATACAGACATCCGCTTTGTTTATCTGAGCCTAAATTAATTTTGGTTTGGATTTTAAAATTAGCTCAACCAAGACTGAACTGCCTTAAAACTCACCTTTCAACAGCTGCTTCAGCTGTGGGAGGAGATTTTCCTTCATCCTTCCTTAGAACATAAATCCTTACCAACAGTTGCATGTGATTCTTGTTTTCAGTTCCTATTTCTCTCACTACCAGGTAAAAAGCACTTGCAAGGTAAGTCTTGGAAAGGTGGAGGCAGGAAAAAAATAATCTGCCGGAAAGGCTGGGGATAGTGGTAGACTGGCACTCCATTTGTGCTTGGCTATAGATCTTTATAAGACTTGGGGGAACTCTTCAGAAACCATCCGGGCTATTCTCTGAAAAAGCTTGGAAAGAATGTGCCCATTCCAAATTGAGATGGGCATGCGTGAAAAGTAGCTTGGTTCCTGTTGATTATATAGGACGGCAGTGTAGCTAAAAATGTTCAAATAATAATAAATCCCATATCCATTAATCACTTTGGTTCATGCTCAAAATGTACTTGTCAATGTAATCCTAAAATATATCTCTGTTCTTCTTGAGGTGGAATACAATACTTCAAGTCGTAATGCTGTTTGGTAAGAACAGACTGGCATGTGATTACCAGCACCTTCTTGACCGCCTTCTCATAGACCGTGCAAGGTTTCTTGACACTTTCAGAGGACTTTGTAAGTCACTGTCAGCCTTCCTGCCGGTGATGGCTTCTCAGTGGCTCTCTGGCTGTTAATCAGAAATAAAGTGGGTTGATGGCAGAAGAGATGGGGTGGTGGGATGCAGTCCCCTAATTTGTATAAAAGGAGTATAAAAGTTTTCTTGGTTCCAGATGAGCAGGTGGCCCAGAGCATGGATAAATGGAATGGGGGAGGGGCTTGCAGGACTTTCCCCAGCCCCCTGAAGAAATTACTGTCAGAACAGGATGGTAGGGAATAGCTGAGATGGAACACCCACCCTTATTTATTTATTTTCTTACCTTTATATCCCATCTTCATTCCATCATGGAACCTGAAGTAGAACCATCTTGTCACTGACTAGCCTCAAACATGCTTAGCTTTACCAAGCTGATGGCCTCATGTGCCTTCAGACCATACCCTGGGACTTTGGTATCAGCCAGGGGAGGACTTTGTGGTTTGGAATGTGCCACAGAATGCAGTTAAAGTGTAGGATGAATTCGCCACCACAAATCTGAATGAATGCAGAATGTGTGCTTCTTGTCATATAACTGCCCCCTAAACAAATCAAATGCTTAGTAAAGACCAGGCATAATCTAATTACTGTGTAAGCTTTGTGCAAGCAAATCAGGATGAATGCTGAATAAACAGGTTGTCTGGATGAGTTCACTATGCCTATTCTGCCTTGGTCAGACCACACCTGGAATACTGTGTCCAGGTCTGGACGCCACAATTTAAGAGGGATGTTGACAAGCTGGTACATCTGCAGAGGAGGGCAATCAAGATGATCAAGGGTCTGGAAACCAAGCCTTATGAGGTATGGTTGAAGGAGCTGTGTATGTTTACCCTGGAAAAAAGAGTTTGAAAGGAGATATGGTAACCATCTTCAAAGATCTAAAAAGCCCTCACATGGAGGGTGGAGCAAACTTGTTTTCTCTTGTTCTGGAGGGTAGGACTTGAACCAGTAGCTTCAAGTTACAAGAAAGGAGAGCTGTTTGACAGTGAAACCAGTCTTCTTTTGGAGATTCTTGCATTGCAGGGGGGCTGGACTAGATGACTCTTGGGGTCCCTTCTGACTTGATTCTGTTATTCTTGTGAAAGTATAAACATATGGCCATGTTCTTTTAACTTTTAGAGCTACAATAATTATTGGGGTCCATAAGAGTATGAACAAGATCCCAATGCGTTCATCATTAATTTGATTAGCCATTCCAGTTAGCTCTGGATGTTAACCAATAGAAAAAATCCTTCAATAAGAAGTAATTTTGTCATATTTCAGGACTGCCTATTTCACAGAAACATGACCGGAGATCTAAAAGCATTTGTAGATAAGTATGGTTTTGATGTCCTTGTCATTTTGGCCAGCTACTTATCAGAAGAAAGGCAAGAAAAAAGGCAGATAGCAGTTTATTCAGAAAACATGGAGATGGGAAATCAGGTAAGTATCACGAAGGAAAGAGTAAAGTAATTCTGTCTGCGTTCTAGAACAGAAATGCATCATTACATTCCCTGTTGGTCTTTTAGTCTTGCCATAGCATAGGATGTATGAGTCATAGAAATTACATTTATTGAGTGTGTTGTTATCTGTGAGCAATGATGCAATAAAAACACCATTAGATGATTAAAGGAGTGGTGAGGGGAAGAGAGAAAACAAATCGTCATTTTGTTAAAAAGAAAGAAAATAATTTTATACAGTGTACCCAATTTGGATCCTTCTTCATTTCATAAACATCTTGAGATTTGTCCACATTCCCCCAACCCAAGACTTTCTAGTTAGAGAAAGATTAACCACAAAAGATATCAGTGTAATTGCCCTAGTCCTGGATTTCTCTGTCATTTTAAAGTCTACTACTAGCATTGCTGTAATTTATTACCACCAGACTAGGTTCTTAAGTGGGGCCTGGATAGGGCAGGGGGTGAAACTGATTGGCTCAATCTGAGCAAGTTAAGAGGCTAAGAAGGACTGAAAGCAGGAATTTGTGATTTTAATGTGGGTTTTTAAATCTGATACTGTTATGTGTTCTGTTTCTTTGCTTCCTAAACCCCCCTAATACATCTCTAGGGGGCTTCTTAAAAGAAAACTTACTCAGTAAAGTTTGTTTTTAACTTTAAATTATGCAACAGACATGATAAATACCACTGCTTTTTCCCTCAACAGATTTGTTGTGAATTAGAAGAATGTCAGAATCCTTGCCTAGAACTGGATCCTCTGGAATATGGATGTGATCAATTCCTCATTTATCACCAAGAAAATTCTTCAGCCAATTGCGATGAAATTTTCCTGCTAATGAAAGACGTTATCAGCAGGAGACATCCAGAAATGGCACCAAACAGTAGAACATCTTCCACTGAAGCGGTTGCTGGAAGCGCTCCACTTTCTCAAGGATCTTCTGGTATTATGGAGCTTTATGGCTCTGACATTGAACCACAGCCAAATGTTGTCAACTTTATAGAGAACCCTCAAGATCATAATGGATCTGTCCAAGCCCATGCTGATGCTAATGTAGATCTTGTGAGTCCAGACAGTGGGCTTGCTACTATTAGAAGCAGCAGATCCTCCAAGGAGAGCTCAGTTTTTCTTAGTGACGATAGCCCAGTAGAAGGAGCAGCATCTCATCACAGTTTCCTTTCCGGTTTTGATTCCTATAGTCCCATTCCTGAAGGAGCAGTAGCTGAAGAAGAAAAATCTCAGCCGAGGAACAGCAGCAACAATTTTGATCTATTCAACTTTGATTTAGCACCAATGGCTGCAGTTCAGATGGATTCTTCTCATTCTGTGGACTGTTCCCCTCCTGATGACTTCTCCCATGACAGTGGTTCATCAGAAGGACAACCACCAACTGACTCAAAAGTAATTGATGAGACAAATCTATCAGAATGTGACATTGCAAATTATTCAACTGATTTACCAATGACAAGAAAGGAAGAAGATGACACAATAAAATTTAATGAGTGTAGCCACCTGCAAGAACATCCTAGTATGATAGACCTAGAAAATGACTCTTCCTCTCATCCTAAAGTGTTGAACAATGTTGAGAGGAGAACTCCACCAATCTCTATGAACAGCCGTGTGGAATCTCCGCCTTTAGATGGTGGGCCATCTTTATTTTGTCCACAAGATAAAATTAAAGAAAATAATGAAACTGATTATGTGAACAATTCTCAGTCTCGTACGAGATATGGGAGCTGGTGGGATGGGTTTCAAATAGACTCCAAAAATGCTGTTACATGGAGTTCAACTGAAGCAGAATCTGTATTTCAGAGTCCTGATTCATGGAAAGAATATAAAACAAGTCTATTACTGAAAGAGCAAACTGATAGAAGAGCTTCAGATTCAGTCTGTATACAAGAGCATCAGAAGCGTATGGATTTTGCAAGAGCAGGTATTTGGGAGAACAAGTTTGGTTGCTGCCCAAGTTAAGCAGGATTTGGGATGCCATCAAAAAGACAATGAACAACCAATGGAGGACTTTGCTAGCATGTGGAATACCAGTCAACCAGTTCCTGCAATTTCTGGTCCATGGGGTAATACCAATAGTAATGGTGGACACATCAACTCAAATTCACCTAATGTTTGGGCAGAAATTGATCATGATGGTTCTGGACATTCAGAGTGTACATGGAATGTTCCTCAGGTAGATTTTGATCATATTTCCCCAATGAAACTTGATACATGGGTTATGTCTAACTGTTCACCAGAACACTCTGAATGCAATGATTCTGAACATCTAAACAGTCAAGTAGACCTAGGATCAAAGAATGAAGGACAAGCTAGTTCAACAAAAACCAACAGAACATATGAAAATGCAAATAATGATACGAGTGGCATGCTGAAGAATGTTAAATTGGCTATGGAACACCAAAGGGATACTGTACCTAAACCCAAAGAATTTGAAAATACCAATGGATGGGCCATGTATGACACAAACATTAGAAAAGAGGCACTTGGAAATCTTGTCTCTTGGGAAGACCCCTTCCTGTCATATAGAGAATCAGACTTTAACACCTCAAATACATGTGACGATTTTATTGTTTCTCCACCGGATACAAATTATTCAACATCTGACTCATATGTATCACCAACAGGGGCTGGAGATGAAAAAGAGAGTGAGGGCAAACATTATGAGCCAATCTTGGATCAAATGGTAAACATAAGCTCGGGTGAACCTGAAACATACAGTTTTGGAGATTTGAAATTGCCACAAACATCAGCGTTATGTTCCACTGATTCTGACTATGGAAGTCGAGGCCCCTGGGAAGCACCACTTAATAATAAGAACCAACTGGAAGCAGTACATTCTGAAACTACTATTATAAAAAATATTGATTTACTTGATTTGAAACAAAAAGGTGCTACATATTTTTCAGATGACTACTGTGATCATGAAAGTAGTGCTTCAAGTTCTGAAGACACTGGAATAACGATGTTTTCTACAGAGAAAAATAGCCACTCAGCTCTAAATAATATTGAAGGGGGAAATGCTGATGTAAGTAGTGATGTCATCCTTCAGGACACAAATGACATGGAGAGAACATTTTCAGTCAGTGATCAAGTAAAAAGAAACAAACAATCAGAGCAGAACACCAGACTTCTAGATAAACAGTTGAACCAGTGGAATGAACAGCTTCAATACAATCATCAGGCTGGATTAGAGCACAGTGGCATCTTTTCTGCCTCAAAGCAAGTAGTCAAGCAATGTCAAAGAACAGATGAGGGAAGTGGGCAAGTCACCCTTGAAAATATTAGGAATGAAATGATGCAAAATGACAATAAAGACTTGATCCTTCCACTTCCTCTCTCGTCTAGTAATAGTTCAGAGGAAAGCAGGGCAATTTTTGGTTCTCCCAGGTCACCAGAAAAAACAAGATGTAGTGACAGTCTAGAAGATGTAGTAGCAGAGCCAGAGGAAATAAGCCTGCCATTTTCCAATGAGACTCATCCTGTCAATGAGGAAAAGAAGGGTGGATCTCTCGATAGCAATGCAGAATATTTTGCTACATCTCCCAAAAAAGAAAACAAGCACATAGTTCATAGCCTTGACATGGATGCTTACCCAAAATACAGTTTAAATGTGTTATCACCATCTGAAAGTTTGGATAGGGAACTATCTGCACAGAAGATCCCTGAGAAGGAGAGTGCATCCCCAAGTTCCCCTAGAGGAGAAAACCATCAAGGAATGCATTATCCAGAGTTGGTTGAACATCAAGATGGATGGGATAAATTGGAGAAACGTATCTCTAAGTCAGAGCCATCAAGTTGTTTGCTACATGATGAATTGCCAGTACCAGTAGGAGAACATCAGGAACATCAGGAATTTGATGAGTCAGTTGCTAGCTTGAACATTCATAAATCTGATTTGGAAACTCCTGAAAATGTTTCAGGAATGCTTAGCAGTCATGGAGCATCTTTAGAGGATAAAAATCAAGAGGGATCAATGGAAATACAACAGGATTCATATACAGAATATACTCAAGCCCTGGATACAATGGATAAGCCTAAAATAAATGACTTGTTGTCAAATGGAATGGATTTGTCTCATGATAGTGAGACTTCTGAAAGCTTGGAGTCTGAGAATAAGCTTTCCAATGAGAAATGTATTGATATTATTCCTCATCATGAGTTGTCCCATATTCTAGATGCCTGGAATGTATCGATGGATGAACAGGCACAGTCTGTTGGAATAAGCCCCAACATAAATGAGGCACTTGAAGGGTCAGATACCATGTATAATTTCCCAGAAGATATTCCTATCAAAGACACCTATTACAAAGAAGACACCACTTGTAGTGGTTCCATTGACTATACACACTCAAGTGCAACCACTCCCGATACAAGTGATTTTTCTACAAATATGCATATTTGGGATAGCTTTCAGGTAGCTAATAATCAAAAAGAAAATGAAGATGCTTGGGACATCACAACTGACGGTGAAGAAGCATCTGGAGAAGAGTTACCTGAGAATAAAAGCCAAGAAGATTCTGAAACAAGCACTGAACACAAAGTGCCGAAAAACTTAGAGCTTTGGAATGCTCATGTGGATGATGATACCGTATCCTCATTATCAAGTCCTGGAATTGATGTAGATTCAGAATACTTGAGTATGCAAGAGACAGGAATACAGGCAGCTCTACATCCTAACAGACTAGAGGCTGACATACCAGGGCAAGAATCTGTTCGGCCTCATGAAACAAACCTTGTAATTGATTCAGAAGGTTCAAGCACTCCGTCTCATTTCAAGGAAAATGTCCAAGTAGTCACATTAAATGAAAATTCAGAAAATCTTAATGCTTTTGACACTTCTGTGGAGGATTATGTTCATGAAACATCTGAATGTTTAGCGCATTGGGAAACAATTCAGGATGAAGCAGATGGCCATGCTATACAAATGTCTGATATAAATCATGAAGAAAACCATGGCCCAAAGAATTCAGATGCTTGGGATGTAATAATGCAAGGCCATTCTGAAACCACATTAGATAAAAATAAAAAATCCATAGTGGACAATCTTAGATTTCCAGATGATTCCTCGGAGTGGTGGAATTTACAAAGCCAAGATGAAAGTTCAATGGAAGGTGCACAATTTTATTCTGATAATGATTTAAAAATTAATGACACAGTCACCATTACACATGGTGCAATGCAAATACACACAGAAAAAAATGAAAAGCGAAAAGAACCAAATTTCCATGATGCTACTAAGTTTGAAAATGAGTCTACTCAAGATAACAGTGAATGTGAATGCAGAAATGGAGCAAACTCACTGGCCAACAAAGAAGAAGAGTTGGATCAAGGTACTGTGAATTTTGAAGAGTGTTATCCACTGTCACCATCCTGTGAGGATGAAAGTGGTGTAAAACAAGAATCCTCTGTTACTAATGTTAAAGATCAGGATGCTCTTAAACACCCTGTTCCAGAAGACTGGCAATCAAACCTATTAAACGCACTTGCTCAGGTCGATCCAACACTTGGTCTGCTAAGAGATAAAATGAATGCAGCATCTATCAATCCAAATGAAGTAAATGTAAATCTATTAGATAAAAAAGAAACCAGTGAACAATTTCCATCTAATCCTCCACTACCTTTAAAACCAATAAGGAAACCTAGCCCAAGATGTGATGAAGTTACACAGGAAAATTCATTTGTTCCAGATATATTACAAAACAACAACCCTAGTGATTGCCAGGCATTTACTGTTGATCCAGATTTGTGGACTAATGTTGAACAGCCTTTTGTCTTGAGAACAAATGGTGAAAATCCTGATATATTAAGTCACTGTGATCAAGACAGCAGTTCACAGGCCTCAAGTAGCCCTGATGTTTGCAATGAATATGAAAACAAGGAAACTTGTGCCCAATCTTCTGTTCTAACTGAACCCGAAGAAGCTATTCAGATGTCTTCCATGCTGTCAGAAATATACAAAGACATAGACGTAGTCTTTAATCAGCAGTTGACAATTGACAGAGAAGAGTTATGTCCTGAAAGTCTGTCTCTTGATTATGAGACAAGTCTTGGTGAGTCCTACAAAGGAACACTCGCTGGAAATGAGGAGTTATCTGAAACTGGAGAGGAAACTGTTATGCATGAATCTGACATAGCACATAAAACTACTACTGAATTAGAGGATCTTCCAAGTTCGTGTAGTGAAAATTTGGAAGCAGAACTCATAAATCAGGAAAGCAATGCCTATGAAAATAAAAACTTTGAAGAACAGGAAGGTGCAACTTCCTCAGACAAAATGAAGTCTATGGATCCTGCTGTTGCTCTGGCTTCACCTACAGGGATGGATGATCAGCTGGAAGCATCAGATATGCATGGCATCAGTAAGATGTCAGTTGCCACTAAACCATCTACCACACTGAATGAAATTAATCCCATTGCAATCTTAGACAATCAATCAGAGAAAAGAGTAGAAACCAATGAAATATTCAGAAAGAAACATTCATTGCAAGCCTCCCTAGAAGAAGAAAATGAAGATTTCCTCTATGGTGCAGAAAGTCAATATGCCACTAATATTCTACAAGAACCTGAAAATTTGCAGGAGAATAATAGCCCATGGGTTGTAGGATCACTCACAGAACAATCACCACTTGCATGTACTTCTCCATTTGATGTATCATTTGGTCATGATTACACTCTTCAGAAAGGTGGCGTGAACATTTCAGAATGTGGCACTGTTGATATCAAAGGTGAGGTTGCAGAATATTCTCAAGCAGATCAAGGTTGGGAATCACTGTTAGTAGAGTCTGACGGGACTCCTGGATCTTCATGTACTTTGAAAAAATTTGAATATGAAACAGATTCAAGTAATATTGAATCACCCACGGGTGTCAATGATCTTGATCATTCAGAATCTATAGCTACTGATGTCTACAATGAGATTGCAGGATGCACTCAAGAGGGTCAAGACTGGGGATCATTTCTGTTAGAATCCAGAGAGACTCCTGAATCATCATCTGCTTTAAAAGAATTCAAATATGAAACAGATTCAAGTAATATTGATTTATCAGGTGCTGGAAGTGCAAGGAGTATTTCAGAATCTAAGCCTAGTGATTCCGATGGTAAGACTGGGAAATGTTCTCAAGAAGATCAAGATTGGGGATCTTTATTGTTAGAACCTGAAGTGACTCCTAAGTCGACTGATTTTTTGAAAGAATTTGAGTATGAAGCAGAATCAATTAATATTGATTCACCAGCAGATGGAGTCATAAGCATAGCCAATGGTGAGTAATTAATGCATTTACTTTTAGAACGTGTGTTAGACAAATATGCAGGAGATGTAGTGTGATGCTGACATATAGTACAGTGCCGTGCATGTGCTTCAGAGTTTTAAAATTTTGTGCTTAAATATTTTCTTTGTCATTTCTGTCTATAAAGAAGGCAATATTGATTATTACTGTTTCACATACTGGCAAAAGAAAGAAAAATGAGACTTTGTTGTCATCTGCATGTATCACAGAATATTGTATTTATATACTTTTTAGCAATCTAGAATATCTTGCAATTAGCACTATGCTTATTCACTAAGCCACACTTAAGCAAAGAAAAAGAGGGGGAATAGAACAGGAGGAGGAGCTTAAATATAATGTATTTTGCTTTTAATATTATCTTGATCAGTGACTTGACTACTTTAACTAAAATTTTTCTTTTTAATTTCAGAATCTATCTGTTATACACTGCATAATGCAAGTGAAGGGTGCAAGTCCATAGATAAGTCAGAGATGATAAGACCAGAAAGAAAGGAAAAGACAACTTTGAAAGAAGCCGAAGATCAATCTTCACTAGAGATGGATTATGTCCTCATTACTGGCGAAGAAACTGTATCTTTGAGGAAGGATATCTTGGGAACACAAGAAAGTAATTTCACTTCACAGGAAGCTACAGCAGTAGAACAAACGAATTCTCTTGAAACCTTTTTAGCAGAGACCTCGGATACATTTCAGTCACTCTCCATAATAAATGAAAGTGAAGGGCAGTCTGCTCTGGAGACTGAATGGGAATCTTTCTATTTGGCAGAGAAAAGTTCTGCTGTTGTGCCTCAAAAACTGGGAGATGAAAAGAAATCACCCAGAAGCCCTGCGCGAGATCAGGAATGGACTATGGTGGGCCAAAATGGAGTGAATGATATATCACCTGAAGAAAACTGTAGCATAGACACAATAGAGTCACTATCTAGACACCCTGTTAAAGAATTAGAAGGTGTTTTAAGCCAGGAATTGATATGTGAGACACAAGATGAAACTCTGCTAGAGAGAAACCCTCACAAATCAGGGCAACAAGAGGATGGGAAATCACACAATAAAGGGACAGATGCTCTTTTATTGCAAGTTGTTGCTGGTGATGGTGAATTGGATGTCCTTTCACAACAACATTCTGTCAATGGCATGGTAACAGAACAAGAAGCAGAAGAGGAGACCCAATTTGTTGGCAGTGAAAGAGAACTCAGTCCTGTAACAGGGTAAGGACAGGTCCACACATTTTATTTCTATTTTTTTCTGTATAAATGTGGGGCAAATGGTCACAGAACCTCTGAGAAGCAGATGCTATTTTTCATTACACAGATGGGGTTGGATAATAGATTCAGCTAGCAAAAGAGCTTCTGGTTAAGCAGGATGGGACATTCAGTTTTTACCAAACTCTCTCCCACCAACTGCAGCCCTCCATACAATACCCTCAGGAGGAGCTTTCGGTACAGATTGTAATGGGGAGGGGGCAAAAACCCAGGGCGCGCACCTTGTACAAGTGGAAGTGCTTTCTACAGACACAAAGCCACCACTGGATACTCCCTATAGACTTTATACCTTTTTTCTTTCTTTCTTTCTTTCAAATTCTTTACTAATAATGACAGTTTTTTAAAAAAAGGATCCTGCAATTCTTTTCTCTGTCTTAAGCCAAGTAAGCCTTGCACCTCTTGAAATATTTTTCTATGCTGAATGCAGGGATGAAGAGTGTTGTGCTTCATGCGTTGGGTCTTATACCTTTCTTATTAAAGCAGCTTCTCACCTTCCTCTGACCAACTTCTTTCTTTACCCACTGTTGGGATATCCTATTCCTAACAATCATCTACTCTAGGGATGTATCGGGATGCTCTACTTTTAGACCAGAAGTTCAGTGTTCCTTGTTAGAGTCCTGAATTTTACAAGTGAGGCTTGCAAGTGAAATTCTGATTGACTTGTTTCAGGGAGTGGAGATGGAAAGGAGTATCCTGGCAGATGGTGTGGCTAACTGAACAGAAGTACTCTGTACTGCAAAGTTTTGTCATAAGCCCCATTTGTACCAACCTGTTGTGAGACTGATCTCTCTACTTGAGTTTTGGTTAGCAAGGCTCATGGATGTAGACAAGGTGCTTGGACCAGTCAGGGTGACTTCTTGCGCTCTGGCCCCTTGCCACTTGTGGTTGATTAAAACTAGTTGGGAAGGGACAGCTGGCTGGGCCAGGGATGTGATGCTTCCTTGTGTGAGGGGGTGGTCCCTGCCTGCTTCCAGGAAGAAGTGCTAAAACAACTCAAAAAAACCTTCCCTGGATTTGGAAAATCTAAGTAATTATTGTCCAGCTGCCAGTCTCCCCTTCTTGGGCAAGATTCTTGAGCAAATAGTTGAAAACCTGATCCAGGTGCTCTTGGAGGAAACTGATTATCTAGATCCATTTCAATCAGGGTTTAAACCTGCTTTTGGCACAGAAACTGCTTTGGTTGTCCTCCGCTGGGAGAGAGAGGGGGGAAATGTGTCCTTGTTAATTCTCCTTGACCTCTCAGTGGCTTTTGATACCATTGATGTCAGGGACTGTCTGAACACTGAGGAGTGGGCACTCAGAGAAGAGAAGAGTGACTTGGAAGAAGGAATCAATGATCTGGGGGAACCTGTAACAGCCAGGAGATGAGAGTCAGAGGCAGGAGAAGCTGCAGGACTGGAGAGTGAAAAACAGGTGCATGAGAAGGGAGAGACAGGTCAGGTTAGGGTAAAGGGCTCCTCGTCCTGCCCCCACCTCTCCTGCTCCACTGTCTCCCAGGACAAGAAGAGGATTGAAGTGGGAGGAACAGAAACAGGTTGCACAGAGACATAGTGTTGCCTGCTTGCATGCAGCTCAGGTGAGGGAGATACAGTGGTGCCCCGCAAGACGAATGCCTCGCAAGACGGAAAACCCGCTAGACGAAAGGGTTTTCCGTTTTGGAGGTGCTTCGCAAAACGAATTTCCTATGGGCTTGCTTCGCAAGATGAAAATGTCTTGCGAGTTCCTGCAGGGTTTTTTTTCCTCCCCCCCCCTTTTCCCCAAGCCGCTTATCAGCTGATCCGCTACGCCGCTAAGCTGCTTAACAGCTGATCGCTAAGCCGCTTATCAGCTGATCCGCTAAGCTGCTTATCAGCTGATCCGCTAAGCCCGCTAAGCCGCTAATAGCGCTAATCCGCTAAGCCGCTAATCGGCTTGCTTCGCAAGACGAAAAAACCGCAAGACGAAGAGACTCGCGGAACGGATTCTTTTCGTCTTGCGAGGCACCACTGTACATAAGCTGAGGTTGGAGGTGAGGCCTCCCTGTTGCTACAACTGCCTCATTGGGTGGACATCTAGAAATAGCTGAGGCATTTGAGACATAGGACTGATAGACATGCCTTTTCCTAACTTGTAAGTTTACTTTGACAATAAAGAGTTAATTTCTCACTCTGGACATGCCTTGCCTGACAGCACCACGACAGTCGACCATGGTATACTTCTGGAGTGGCTGTCTAAGTTAGGGCTGAGTGGCACTGCTTTGGATCTACTTGGATGGTCAGTTCCAGAGGGTGCATCTTGGGGAGTGCTCTTCAGCCCCATGGAGCCTTCAATGTGGAGTTCCTCAGGGTTTGATTCTATTGCTCATGCTGTTGAACATCTAAATGAAACCACTGAGTGGGGTCATCCAGAGTTTTGGAGTACATTGTCAGCAACATGTTGATTCCGCACAGCTCTACTTCTCCTTTACATCTGCAGGTGAGGCAGTGGAAGTGCTGGGCTGAAAGGACAGTATAGAAATTTAATTAATAAATAAATGCTTCACTCCTTATACTGCTGGCAAAACTCTGTTCTTCCTCTGTGAGAAATGAGAAGGTTCATGTGAAGCATTGAATTGAAGTGGTTGCTGCTCCCCTCTTTAGCATATATGTTTGGTGATTTTGACAAAAGGCAGCACGCAGGTAAACCAGCTCTTGTAAGAGGAAAGCTTGCAGTGTTGGTAACAGTTGCTGTCTTTGTCATTTGTATGGGAGACAGTATAGGAGCTGGTTCTGGGAACACACACAGCCACCAAAATGAAAGTACAGTTCTCATAGAAGCCAGTCTTTCGCTGCTGATAAATGTGAAGTGTTAAAGCTTTCCAGGGCTTAAATGTAATTTTTGCATTCCTACAGTCCTCTTTTGACATCTGATACCCCAAAACAATACATATAACCATACCGCCATACTATCCTTTGAGAACAGATTTTGATCTTTCATTTCAAAATTAGTTAATTCACATGGAAGGTTTGCTGATTGTTTCGTGACTTTTTAGTTGCTCCTAACAAAGGTGTAACCCTATCATTTGCAAAAAACAAAACAAACACCATGATGTTAGATTGGCAGGGAGGCAATGTGTGCGCAGAGCAACTGTTTACACAACTCCTTGACATGATAAATTTTGTTTGTTTGTAACAAATCTATTTGAAACAAACTGTTGTGCGACTTGGTGCAGTGTGGTAGCTACCCAACTGACTTACAAATTGGGAAGTCAGGACCTTGGATCAAATCTCACCTTGCCATGGAGGGGAAAGGCTATAGCTCAGCGCCAGCACCTGCCTTGCATGCAGAAGGTCCCAGTCTTGATCTTAGGCATGTCCAGGTAGGGCTGGGAATGCCCCCTGCCTAAAACCCTTGAGAGCTGCTGCTAGTCAATGTGGACAATACTGAGCTAAATGGGCCAGTGCTCTGACTCATTGCTTCCTATCAGCTTCAGAATGGCTGGCAAGTATTGGCATCCAGAAGTAAATCAAATCTTGCCTCTGTCATGAAGCAGTAAGTAGCCTTGGACAAGTTGCCACCTCTCAACCCCAACCCCGTCTGCAACATAGCTATAATCATACTTACCTATTTAAAAAAGCTGCTGTAAGAATTGTGTCCAAATGCTAAATATTATTGTTGCTAAGTTCTTGCCTGCAATGTGGCAGTACATATATTCAATCCAAAACCACACTTCCCAAATATCCTGCTAAGTGTAGCCCCCCTTCGCCAAAAAGGGGGGAGGTGCAAATCAGCTGCCTGGGTCACACACTCTGACCTTTAACTTTAGTTGTTGGGTGATAGCCCATGTGTTTAATCAGTGCTGAAGGAAATACACTTCATTCTTAATTACTACTCAAGTACCTGGGCTCTCCTTTTAGACCTGTCCAGATCCACTTGTCTGGGTGTTCCTGGTCTCCATTGTGAAATGCTGGAGGACTTGACACCCTGGAACAGTGTAATATAAATAGTTGCCTGGGCTTGGATGAGGAAGTCAACAGCAGTAGCCTGGTGCAATATGAAATGGCTAGCTGGCATTGTGCTTTGAAGAGGAAACATGAAGGCGATCAGTTCGGCAAGACGGATGGACAAAGAACTTTGGGAGTCATTCCTGCCTCACAAGTGCTATGTTATTGTCCCTGCTTGACAGCAAGAAGAAGAGGCAAGCAAAAACATTGCCGTCTTTTACTGTGAAGGAAGCAGATCTAGGATCAGACCCTCACATCCAAGAGTGTGGAGTGACCTTGCTCATACTTGAGTTTAATTAGAGTTTAATGCATTTAAGTTTTGTGTGTTCAAGTTCTTTCAAGTTGAGGTTCAATGTGAACATTCATACCCTTGATACACCGTAGTTATTATTGATATATCCTAAAAAAAATAACCTAGACAGAACAGTCATGGCCCAAAAAAGATGGCTATGATTTTGGGGTACTCAGCTGTCTGAGATGGATCCAGGATAATGGGGTACATTTGGATTTTATTCCCTACTCCCCAAAGTGCAGCCTGAGCTAGCATAATCTATTACATTGATAGTTTGACGTTTACCCCACCAGCACACCCCCACAGAATTTTCCAGAGAATTCTTTTTCATGCAGAGTATGAAAAATAAATATGCTATGTAACTTGTGCTGCTCAACTCTGCACCACAACTTAATTGCTAAAATGCTTTCACTGAGCATGTCAAAATAATTATGTCTCATACTACCTTGAAAAATTGGGTTTGCGCTATTGATTAGAAGTTTGCTGCTTTTATCTTTCTCTCACCGTAGATTTTTACTTCGTCTCTGGATAAAAAGAGCAGAGTTTTTCAAGCTCTGTCACTGATTTTCTTAGTAAATGTGGATATAATTATGCATGTGTGGGGGGGATATATATGCATATATATTCTGAGCTTGACACAACTCCACAGGGGCCATTAAATTATCATAATTTGCAGATGAATTCTAGTGCTT